GGCCACGTGACCCGGAAGTGTCTGCGGACAGCGCTGGCCCCCGGCCTCTTAAGTGAGATGGGCGCACAACCCTAGAGTCGGACTCGACTGGCCTGTACGGGCAGGGGTACCTTTACCTTTTTACAGGCATTCACACAAACAACTGAACATGTGTACAGACTCCTTGTCCACAGGTGCAGCTGAATGTGTGAATAATCTCATCCCCATCTATCAATGACATAGAGAAGGGCTTCTACACTAGATCTGAGGCAGTGAGGAGGCAGTCTGTATCTGTACTGGGCTTGAATCACATTGGGGTCTTTTATGGGAAGTGATTCATAAATATACTAAATAAATGCATAAATTTGGAGCATCAAAATCTAAGGAGAAATTCAGATTGAGATCATTTTGTAAGCCCCCCGATTCCTTTTATAGGACAGAAGCCCAGGTCTCTTAATGAACTGGTAAGTCTATGGAAAGTTGATGTTAATAAAAGCAATAAGCTATTGCAATAAAGCAGCAATATACTAACAGAGAAGAAGAATCATTCCCATACAATAGGACTAAAGAAATCATACTTGGGAGTTATTGCAGGTTTTTTAAGCTACTATAGTACTCTAATAGTAGCATAATTTTAACTCAAAGATTGCAGAAGTAAGTTTAATAGTTGTTCAGGTCTATAAATGTCACACAGTTTTACACCACTATGTCTGATTTACTACTGAACTACAGCTGGATTAACACAGTGATGAAATGATGCCTCTATAAGTTTGTTACATTTCTTCTATTTTAGGATATAATTTATAGGTATCCCCCAACAGAATGCAAATCCCAGAGAAATCAACTGCTCTAGAGCTCTTGAAACAGCTCTAACATTACTTCAAGAGATCAGTTAAATTGTGTTCATCTTGAACGACAACTGTTCTTAGCCCCACTGAGCAATAGCTTCTCCCTCATTATTCACTTTTACATACCAGTCATGTTATTGTCATCAGGTTTTTAAGCATGAGCCTCTTGCAGTAGGTTTCTCTCTTTATTTTCTCACCTAGCTTGCTGGCTAGTTGCTCTTCTCCAATTTACATCACAGTCTTGGCCACGCTCAGTCTTGGTCATTGTTGGGCACGGGTGGGGAACCTTTGGTCCTCCAGATGTTGTTGCAATACAGCCCTCATCTGGAGTAACATCTGGAGGACCAAAAGTTTCCTGTCCCTGCTGGAAGGGCTGGAAGGCCAAGCTAGATGGGATATTTGTTATCATGTCAGTTGGCGTAACTGTGTCCTTTACTAAGGAATGCTTTATAGACGCTTCCATATTTTCATCAGTACTTGAGGTTGTTGGTTTGTTTTTCTAACATTATGTGTTGGACACATCTGGCAGATAGATCAGACAAATCTGTGTTATACATAGATAGGAGGAGTCTGGGGAAGAATATTTCTGTAGCACTGAATCCCAAGTGAGCGACAACTTGCCGCAGATGAGTCCCATCTTGGTAACAAAGTAAAAGAAAACATGGTGCTTGGGACAGCTTTCATTTGTTACACTTGAAAGGAGAATGAAAAGAGGTTTGGCAGAGCAGAATATCTGTAGGCATTTAAAGCATAATAAAGTACTTCAATCAGCATAGACACAGCTAAATGAATGAATTAGGGAAGGGCTGTGGAATGTTGTTCTAATCTGAACCTGGGACGTAAATAGAAATGATGGAGGAAAGAATCTAGTCTGAATACACTGAAAAACACTGTAGTGGGGAAGCTAAAATCTCACTGAAACCAACGAGATTCTGGGTAACGAAACGCACACCTAAAGTTCCACTGGTTGGAGTTAGTCACAGCTAATGACATAGTGTAGCTAGACAAAGCTGAAACCTAGGAAGTCTAGGCATCAATAGGTGTCAAAGCCTAGTAATCATTATCTGTAGTGTAAGTAGCCACTACTACCACAGTGAGAAAAACGTGATATCTACAGGAGAGGAAATTTTAAAGAGAGAGAGAGAGAAGAAGGTTACAGAGGAGTAAGGTTACAACTGAGATGGAAGAGCCTTGTAGGGTTGTTGTTGATTTGTGAAGGTAGGGAGCACATAGTAAGACTGCATTTGATTGGAGGGACATTGTTGGAGGGCCTTGACCCCAAAATAAAAGTGGATCCAATGATATTACTATAAATTATGTCTGTTTGGAGTGGATGAGGAAATTCAGAAATTCAGGAATATGTTTCTCTGCCAGAAATATATCCTATGGTTTTTACCTTACTATTCTCCATCAGCTAATCTCAGTGAATTAAAGTATTGAAGGGAGAAGAAAATTTCTGTTGAATTCCTATGGGTCAGGTATAAAGGTTATCTCTGTGTGTGTGCTTATTTTATTTTCAGGTGGTTCCTGAATGTCCTTTTATTCTACAAATACACTCACTTGTGGTCTGCACTCTGCAGCCATGTTCGTGCTTCATCTGCATACAGCCCAGAGGGAGACCTCATGAGGCCTCCTCCCCTGGAACCTTTCAGAATAAGGAACCTCAAGCAGCCAGGGAGGCTTCCAGAAGGCTGGATAAACCTTTACTGGAAGGAAACTCATACACCAGTCTTGGCTGCTGCACAGGCATCGTGTCAGCTCAAAGTGCCACAACCACGGACATTCTAAATAATCTTGTGTTCCTAGAAAATGAGGCAAGAGAATGAAAAGCTACTTCTCAGAGAGAGAGAGAAAACCTTGTGAATTTGAAGGAGAGATTACAGTGCTCTTCAAAATGGTAGCCCCGTGTGCTGGGAAACAACTGTTTATGTTGAACAGTGATGCTACCAAGGGAAAAGTCCTGTGACTTATAAGTAACCACTGCACATTCTCCCAGCAAAACAAGGAACAATAAGACCAACATCTACACGGCCCCTGTTGTAGAAAGACAGAAGTGAGAAACCTAAAGGGGAGGTGGGATGGGGGGAAGAGACAGGGAGCTGGCAAAAGCTGAAACAGTTTTATTGATGCAGCCATTGCCAAATGTTAATTGTTTTCTGTGTAGCTGTCAATTGATCTATAATTTGAGTCTAGATTCCATACATTTATAATAAATTGTGGACAAAGCTAGCTACTTAAGAAGATAATGAAGACTCAAAGGTTAACAAAAAATTAAACACTCACATGGCATTAGTTTAATGGTGTAATCAAGATTGGGGGGAACATGTTTTCTGTTCATGTTGTAAACTGTTCATGTTGTAAACTGTTCATGTTTGTAGCATTGCAGTTAGTGCATCATTAGATAGATTTAAAAAATTCTCTTTCCCTATGTGGCACAATTTGCTGTGGGCCATTCTCTTATAGCTTTGGAATGATGCACAGAATGATGAGAATGAAGATCAGCATCACATACTGGAAAGGTGCGTTCAGATTCTAATGAGTGAATCAGTCTCGTATGAAACTATTGATTACCACAAACCTGCAGGTAAATGAAAGGGTTGGTTATTTTGAATCAATGTGTTCAATGAAGGCCTTCCTTACTATTTGCACCCATTCCCAACAAAATCATAAACCCCTTGCTTTCATTAAAATCTGACGTTTTGCTCAATCCTCTCAAGCTTCCTTTGACCCAGAGCTACTCTGCCTACTCATCTCTTTAGTAGCTGCTATCTCCAGCTACTGATCTCTGTGTGAAATATTGTTTTCAATAAAATTCTTGGTTTTTTCCTTCCTTCACTACAGCCATGTGAGCTTTCCACAATATATGGCTCACTCTCCCACTTCATAAATATAATAAACTATGCATTTCATGTTCACTGATAGTATGAGACCAGGTGTGTACACATTAGGGGTGAATCTAGAGCAGGGTTAGGCATCCTGTGGCCATCTGGATTTGTAGGACTCCAGGTCTCATCATCTCTGACCACTGGCCATGCTGGGTCAGGCTGATGGAAGAACAAGACCTGGTTCTCCAGCCCTGATCTAGAGTGGAAAAAACCAACACCAATACCCAATAATCTGCTACTATTCCAGTACAAATCATAGTGAAGGTGGAGTTGCATGTACTTTTTGTTAAATAGTGGGTAGACATAGCGGACGATTCAGTGATTTTTCCAAAGCAGCTCTTTATTTGTAAGCTGGAACAGAACTGAACAGCAAACAGCTCAACCGGCCTGCTTTTATAGGCAGCCAGCTGTCAACATTGCATCAGCAACAACCCAGGGTTTCCCGCTTAAAGTAACTGACGTGGACCTGAGTGAAAACTATATACATGATACTCCAGGTGGCCAGGGTGAGAACTTCAATACATAATGCTTTTATTATGTAGATGTCCAGGTAATTTACATCTGTGGGGTTTGGCTGAACCTGTGTTATTTTCAGTTAGTGTTAAGCCTGTGTACCTGTGCACACAAACAGCTGAGCTGCACAAATCAACCCATGTACACTCATTCACACAAGCAGTTGTACATGTCTAGAGACAGCTCACACTTGTGTTCACTATAGTGTGTGAACAAGTCCAATGCAACTGTCATTTCAAGTAACATGCTTGCAGATTCCATGCTTTACGGCTGCTTTTTAATGGGGCTCACGCCACCCATTTCCTAACATTCATATTGGCATGGGCTAAAGTAGTAAACTGGGCCAATGCTGCAGAGAGAGCAGGCTCGCTGAAAGAAAAGTGCTGCCACCACAAGGTAAACATGCCACCTGAAAGCGCCTGAGACCCAATTTGAAGCTGCCCTACATTTTCACAAATTGCAAAAACCACCTATAATCAAATTACTCGTAAGCCTGAGAAACCTCTCCAACCCGGCATTCTCTGCTCAGCAGGGTGCCTGGGCTTGGAACAGCAAGCAGCAAACACAGCAGGTGTGGAAGGGAAACAACTCGGCAAGGACTGAATGGGCAGGTTAGGACCGAAGGGAGTCTGTGCAAGGCAGCTAGAGATGGAATAGCAGAAAAAGTGCAAGGCAAAGCAGAGGCAGATCAGCACAGTTTTCTTTGGCATGTGAGAAAGAATGCGCAGTATGTGACTTCAGCAACCTTTGTCCACCTGGTCCTTGAACTGTGATCCTTGCCCATGATGGGTAGCTCAGTTGGTAAAGCACAAGACTCTTAACCTTAGGGTTGTGGGTTCGAGCCCCACATTGAGCCCCAAGATTCCCACACTGCAGGGAGTTGGACTAGATGGTCCTTGTGATTCCTTCCAACTCTACAATTCTGTGATTCTATGACTTCTATTCACTATGCAATGATTCTGCACCAAAATCAAAACTTTCTGTTAACACAGAAAGCTTGATTGCCATTATTGCAATTCAGCGGTAAACAGCAGATTTCTTTTTCTGGGGAAAGCCCTCATACATAACATATCCCAGGAAACACAGGACATATTGTGGGCAGCTGGCTATATTTGTGACAGCTGTACTAGCAAGGGAAGCAGCAACAGGGTGGAAAAGAAATGGCACGTAAGTGGAGAGGTGGCAGCTCTGACTGGCGTTGGGGAAATGTATTGGGGTAGGCAAAAAGGTAGCAGTGGAATGAATATGTGCACTGGCGGAGGAAGAGGAGTGCAGGGGGAGTGCACCACCCCCGACAGCGCGATCCCGGTGTGGTGCCATCATGGCTGCCCCCCTGCCCACACTGGGCTCCACACCCACACAGGTGGCGTGCCACACCCCCAGAACACATGCCCTGCCCCTGCAGGCAGTGCGCCCTGCCCCTGGGACGTGCACCAGCCCCGCCCCTGCCTGCTCTCTCCCACCCCCCCGGTGCTGGAGCATGAAGCTCCACCACTGAATATGTGAGCAACAATTGGAACATGACTGACAAAAGATGTCATGAGAGAAGGTGGCTTCAGGTGGAATTGGAGTGGATATAGTTGTTTAAGTATTGTCAGTCTTTTGGGATTTGAGGGCACATTTGGGAATTTGAAATACTGTTGTGGTTTCCACCAAAAAAGAAAGAGGCTGTTATTGGGCCATAGCTATAGGGCAGGTTACCTGTCCGATAAGTTGAGTACAAGGCAGAGCTGGTGTCATCCCTCTAGAACACAAAGCCACACTTTTGAGCTCACAAGTTTCTACTACATTCTGAGCATCTATTTCTATGAGGAGGAGTAATTCTGAGGGGTCAAACAAAGAAATAATAAAAAAGTGACAAAAAAGTTATTTTTATAATGACGAGTTTTGCGGCTCCCAGTTTTTTTTTCTTCGGAAACGGGTCCAAGTGGCTCTTTTTGTCTTAAAGGTTGCAGACCCCTGATCTAGCTGGTACTATTTGTTCCATAGATCCCATTATAATGTTTTAAAATATGCTAGCTGTTCAGGGCATTTGCCACAATAGAGAATGCACAGTTAAAACACCAAGAACAAAAATTCTACTTATTTGTGGCCCTTTTAGGGGACTATGGTGTAGAGGGTCTGTCTGAACTCAAGGCTGTGAGTGCAACTGGCCTGCAGCTATGTACGTTTTTCATTCCCAGAAATCCATACGCACCTATCTACGTTTTTCATTCCCAGAAATCCATGTTTCTTCAGCACAGACCAAGCGCTGAACTGTGGCAGGGAATCTCATTGTGGAATCATTTGAAGTCGTTCCCCCCCCCCCACTGCGCTTTCTGCAATACTGAAATTCCAACAAGGAAAGAGAGAGGAATTCCTTCTCCTGGTTTTATTTCTTCCCTCTCTCTATCCACTTTTAGTTCTCACTCTTTGCTGAGATTGCTCAGAAGGGACTTGCTATTCCAGTGTTGCTACTGAAAGTCAAAACTGTGTGAGTTTTAACAGCACCGTCAGATGGGCCTTTCGGGGGCAGGACAAGGGGAGCAGCTATTCCCAAGAAGATGCCGAAGAGGTTTTGGTGCCAGCAAACTTGTAATGTGAGGATACATTTTTGAAATTAATCTTTTCCCTCTTTCATAGCTTCGGTTAATCTCTGTGATGAAACTCCTCACTCAAGGGCATCTTTCTCCACCCTCCCCCTTCCTAAGATCAGGCAGATATTCTCAAAGAAGCTGGAAATACATTCATTGCATCTTAGCCCTGTGATGTGACTTTTATCCCCACTAATGAGAGAGGTCAGTATTGAGCGCCTCTCTGTGGAGTCACAGAAACAACAATCCTTTACTCGCTGGAAGCCTCCATTTTAATTTAGCTCTATACCTCCTGAAGGTAAGAAGAAGAAAAAAGAATTGCTTTGTGGCTTCAGATTAAAATCCAACATAATCCAGCACTCTGACTTCAGCTAGCCAAATCCTTCTAGAAAACGTGTGAAGAATGCTATCCTCTGTTGCTCCTTTGCCTGAAGCAGTAGGCAATCAGGGATACACTGTCTCTGAACATGGAAGTTCTATTTTCAAATGTCACAGATAATAACATTAATTTGTCTAACCCTTAAAAAAAAAGTCTAATCTAGTGGCAAACGTACCTTAACCAAATCTACAATGGCAAATAATTCTGCAAGTTCATTATGGGTTTGGAAATTGTTTCTCTTGATCCTACTGCATTATCCCGCACATTTTGACAATTTATTTTGTTGCATTACCCAGAGAAAGAGTAATTACTATTGGCTGTCTATGCATCATTTTCAAGGTTCCTCTTTAGCTGAGTACCTGTCCACTGTCTGAGGATTCTGCTACAAGTATTTTAGAGTACGTTTCTTTAGATCTCTTTACAAACCTTACAAGGTTACACACAGTTAAGGCTCCTTCCTTGGGGAGAGAAACATCAGTACCTTATTTGGAGGCACAGTACTGCCACCATCCTCAGGCACAGAGGACAAGTCTTTTGCAGTACTTTAATCTCACCACACTTGCAGAAGTCAAAGATTACAGACTAAACGGAAGACCCTTGAACCATCCACCCAGCTCCTCTGGGGAGGTGGAGTCTCCCATACTCAAGCTTTTGTCATCCTATATAAGGTTTTGGTTGGCAATAGCTTTCCACTAAAACACTTAGGAACAGAGTGATTCAACCCACAGGTCTCCCTTGGAGTTGTCCAAGGTACTGAAATGGGCTTCACAGGACATTGCCTGATTCTCCAGCAAGCTCTCAATGAACTAGAATGTGCATGTGATTCACTGCAATTTTCACATTTTGTCATATAAAATAGAGAATGCACCAATGGATAGATCTTGGATATTTGCCAGGTGATGGTGAATATTACTAACTTACCAAATGCTCCAAGCTATAGGTCACATTTCTGGGCCTGTTTTCTGTACTGGATGCCAGAGACTGCCAATCTCCTGGACCCAGTTATCATACATCCCAATTCAGATGGAACGCAGCTGCATTTTGAGGGTGCCTCACCCCAAGTCTCCTGAAGACAGCTCCCAGAGGCTTACTATAGGTGTTAAATAGCACGGGGAACAAGATGGAACCCTGTGAGACACTGCAGGACAACTCCCATGGTGGCAAACTGTAGCCTCCCATCACTACTTTTTTGGAAATGGCCCTAAAGGGTGGGAGAAGATTCACCAAAGCATGGAAGATGCTGACGATAGATGTGAAATCTGATGCTGGGAGAAGCAGACAGGCAAATGCCTGGGTTCGGAGTTACAGGAGAGCATAAAAGTGAAAGGGATGGAGGAAGAGGGCTTCTCCAGTGAAAGTAGCCTTAATCGCTTTCTCTTTGCCCTGATCTCATGCACAATGGGTTCCACAGAATTGCACTCAAAGATCTCAAGGTACAGTCACCTTCCAAGTGTGTAGCGAGGTGTGGTTGACAGCATGTGGGAAGCAGAGTTGCTAGAAAGTAAAGAGGCAAGATTAGGACATGGCCTGAATACAAAACATTTGAGGCACACAGTTCAGCTTTCCGTGCGTAAGCTGGTTGCATTTGCAGTGACAGCCATTTTGCTGCTTTCTGCCTCTCAAGGACACTTCAAGGTCATCACTTTTAAAGAAAGCATGGCTAAGTGTGCAATCTGAAAAGTGTTAAAGTCATTGTTAGCCGGCCCCCAAACAGCCCCTGGCACAAGCCCAGCCAAACTGTTCATAATGAGAGACGTTCCCATCCTCTAATATGATCGATGTGAACAAGTAACAACTGTCTGTTAGAGATTTAATAGTACAGAGCAGCTGTTTATGAATCCAACCCACACACAAATCAAAGAGAAAATGAGAATATTACAATGTTTGCTTGGCAAATTCAAAACCTTCCATCACACGCACCAGCTTCAAGCAAGGTCATCGTTTTGTACACAGGAGATGTCATTTTCTCCCACACATTTGCTGCTAATTTCTTTTGTGCTTCATGCCCAGGGTAGATTCAGAGGGCTGGGAATCATGTGGCAACTACTTAGTTAGCAAGCTTACTGCACAGCGCCTGCCTGCAGGTGGGGAGGCAATTGTCTGCAGCTTCCTACAACACAAAGCCCAGTGTTTATTGGTTTCTTAGAATCTCTGAGTGGTTTCTGTGTAGGTGTGTCTGTATTTTCATGCTGTGGTTAACCATATGGTCGCAGGCTACAGACAACCACATTGTTAGATGCATCGTAGGGTAAGCTTTGAAAGCCTGCTGGTTGTCTCCACCTACCCCATCCCTCCTTTAAACCGCAGATGTCCAATGTGCTCTGGACGTGGTCTGGCATACAAGATCATGGCTCCTTCTCCCCCCCCCCAAAAAAAACAATTTTACTGCTGGGTCATAGGTAGGCATGTGGCGTGCTGTGAAGAAATCCCTCATAACTGCAGATTAAAAAAGGGGGGGGATGAAAGAACAAGGAATTGTTTTTGCTCTGTAAAAGTAACAAGGTGGAAATCTATGCACCTGGGAAGAATTCTGCTCCTTTTCTCCAGGAGCAGGCTTTGCTAAAATTCTGGCTCGGAAGAAGAGGTGGAACTGGGAATATATTGGGTAGAGACAGAATGGGATGGCAATTCCCACGTCAGAGTGGGAAGAGAGTAACAACAACATTTATAACCCAGCTTTTATCCAAGAGTTGGATAGTTGGAGGGGACCCTGAGGATCATCTAGTCCAACCCCCTACAATGCAGGAATATGCAGCTGCCCCATACGGGGATTGAACCTGCAACATTGACGTTTCCAGCATCACGCTCTAAGCAACTGAGCTATGGAGGTCATATTTCCCTGCTCTCCTTTTTATCCTCAAACAACTCTGTGAGGTAGGTTAGGCTAAGAGGCAGGTGACTGGCCCAAGGTCACTGAGTGAGTTTTATGGCTGAGTGGAGATTTAAAACCTAGTCTGCTTCCCTAACTGCTCTAACCACTCCACCACACTGGGATATGGAGCTAGCCAAGGAGTTGTGAGAACAGCAGTGAAAGTGGAGGTTTGGTTGTGAGTTAGGAGAGGGAAACAAGGTGGGAAGATGGTGGTCTCTGCTTCTCTAGAGCTTTTTAAACAGAGATTGGGTGGCCGCCCGTCAGGGATGATTTATCTATGATTCCTGCATTGCAAGGGGCTTCACTAGAAGGTATCCCCTCAGTTTTACAATTCTATGATTCTCAGGGTGAAGAGATGTGAATATACAGAAAGGTTATTAAGATAGGGATGTGCATTGGATATGCATGAGAGAATTTGAAAGCAACAGGTTTGGCATGGGTTTTTTTTGGGGGGGGAGGGTGATGAACTTAGCCACACTTGTCCACAGATGTCCCACACATCAAATAATGAACCCAAATTATTGGAACAATGGGCTGCGCAATCCTATTCTGAAGCCTTCTATATGACTGCAGATGGTACCATTATGATTTTCGTTTCTTTTTAAATGGGAGACTAAAAAATGAAACTCCTCTGCCATCTGCTGGCCAAATAGAAAATTACTGCACAGCTGAGTAAGGGAAAGTTGGTTAATGGGAACGTAAGTGTTTACCAGTGATTTGTGAATAAGCTCTACAGCAGAAGCAGATGAGGGGTGAAAAACCTGCAGATACAAGCCTCTGGTTATAAGGTGCAATCTGTCATTTGAAATCCACCTGCCTCTTTAAGCTTAGAAATGCCATCTTTCTGGTGCTTGTCTTGTACTCACCAGATTCCGATATACTTGAATTATTTCGAGAAAATTTGAATTACAGCAAGATTTCCTTGGGACTGTTTCCGCTTCAAATTCACTTCAGCTCTAGCAGCAAACATATTCAGATCAGGTGTGCTTGGGAAAGAAACTGTCTTGTGCTTTTCATGAAAACAAAAGCTCACAGAGAATTCTCGAATTTTGTCAGGTGTTGGTGGTTGTGAATCTGCACAATCCTTTCCTAAGTATCCATCCAAATTTTACTTTATAGATGTCTTAAGTGTGGTTGGGTCATAAGTAGGGATTCATTTTTGTTCACGTTTTAATGAGAAACTCCATAATTTGTAGTTCCTTAACCAATATGCCAAGCAAAGGACAATAATCCTTTGAAGTTGCACTTTTCTGAATTTTGTAATGCAGTTCTTGAATTATTATTATTATTATTATTATTATTATTATTATTATTATTATTATTTTATTTATACCCTGCCCATCTGGCTGGGTTTCCCCAGCCACTCTGAGTGGCTCCCAGCTGAGGACTAAAAGCAGAATAAAATTTTAAACATTAAAAACTTCCCTAAACTATCTAAAAGTCAGATAGGTTTTTTTATTTCCTTGACATCTGATGGGAAGGCGTTCCACAGGGAGGTTGCCACTACCAAAAAGGCCCTTTGTCTGGTTGTCTGTAACCTCACTTCTCGCAGGGAGAGAACCACCAGAAGGCCCTTGGCACTGGACCTCAGTGTCCAGGCTGAACGATGGGGGTGGAAACGCTCCTTCAGGTATACTGGGCAGAGGCCATTTAGGGCTTTAAAGGTCAGCACCAACACTTTGAATTGTGCTCGGAAACGTACTGGGGGCCAATGTAGGTCTTTAAGGACTGGTGTAATATGGTCTTGGTGGCCACTCCCAGTCACCAGTCTGGCTGCTACATTCTGGATTAGTTGTAGTTTCTGGGTCACCTTCAAAGGTGAGTGCATTGTAGTAGTCCAAGCGGGAGATAAGCAGAGCATGCACCACTCTGGCGAGAAAGTCTGCGGGCAGGTAGGGTCTCAGCTGCCCTGGACACAGAGTTGACTTGCACCTCTAAGGACAGCTGTGAGTCCAAAATGACTCCCAGGCTGTGCACCTGGTCTTTCAGGGGCACAGTTACCTCATTCAGGATACAATGTGTGCAGAGATGCATATGTTAGTGAAAGTAACATACAACGATGCATTATATTTGGCGAGATCTCTTGCAAAAATATGTATATTAGTCAAAAATGCATACAAAATGAGAAATTCGCATGAAGAAGCTGTGAAAATGGGAAATAGCTGTGGAAATGTGCAGAACTGGAATTAAGATGGGGAAAATGCGAAGATAGGAGGGGAAAAAATTGACAGATTCATCTATCTCTAGTCATAGGTGAGCACCGATAAGCTTCTGCAGTGATGACAGGTGCCTATATGTTACTGCAAGCTCCAGTGTCAAGCCATCTCATTCCTCATTCACTGTTTGGTTTTGACAGAAAGGATTTTAGCATATGCATCTTCTGGTCTCATGTAGCCATTACACTGCACTGGCAAATGTCTCCCTCCTGGCACAGAAACACCTTTCAAGGACAGATACTAGATTGATTGAGAGGGCCATTCCAAGCAGGAAGGTAGGACTGGGGGCATGTAGGCACCAGGGCCATCTTATGCATATCCGGCACCGTGGTGCAAAGCTCCCTCCGGTGCCCCCCATCCCCCCATTTCCCAAAGCTGATGACCTTTTATTACAGAGGACAGCGCTGCCGGCAGGACTGGAGGAAGCAAGCAGCGGCTGGAGGGAGGCTCCTCCAGTGGGGAAGAGGCAGAGGCTGGACGCGGCGCCTCCCGGCTCAGCTGGCCACTTCATACCACAGTGGCCAAGGCAGACGGAGGCTCTGGGTGTGGCGCGGCATGGCGAAGGCAGGCGAGGGTAGTGAGCTGATGCCGGGAGGTGCCACACACAGCTTGCACCTCTTTCCTGGCACCCTCCAGAATTTGGCGCCCTGGCACCACTAGCCTCTATGGGTAAGACGCCCCTGGTAGCCACTTTATAAACTGGCCCCCTGTATTCCCTTGTAACTGATGAGGAAACTAGACGGCCTCACTTTGTCAACCCAAGTAAAGTGATGGCAATGGTCTCACCATTTGGCAAGACAGTGTCATAGTAAGTTATCGCTTGGCAAATGGTCAGCTGTAATCACTCGATCAGCACTCTAAAGCAGAATATCCCCACCACTTGCTGCTTATCTAGATATGAGCCTGAAACACTGCTTTAGTGGCTGTTGAGTCTCCAGTAGAGCCTGTACAACAGCCTGGGGGCCACCAGCATGTTGTCCTCCAGCTGCTGTGGAACTCCAGCTCCCATCAGCCACAGCCAGCATGGCCAATAGCATGGACTATTACCAGCACTGCCACCATACAAATTTAAGAAATGGAACCCCAAATGCATGTTTAAGTTCAAGTTGAGTCCCAGGTTTGAAAACTACTGATCTTCAACAGACAGAGGTGCAGAACCTCACATTGTGAGAACTGCCTTGTTGCCTCTGAGTAAGGTTGCAATCCTATACCCAACCACCTGGGAATCAGGCCTTTTGAACTCAGTGGGATTTACTTCTGAGTTTAGGATTGCACTGTGAGAATCATTAAACCCACTGATGGGATATCTATTTGCCTTAGGGCCAGCAGGATAAATTATGCAAGATGGTAGTGCCAGTTCAATTTTACAGACTTCCATTATTTAACGAGAAAGTTACTCCAAATTATACTTCAGGCCTTTGGTTACTGACAGCCCTTCCATCATGCATGCCTTCTGAGTCAAGATGAAGGAATTTGCATAAGCAGTTGGTACAAACTGAGAAGCTGTAGGATTGGACCAGTAAGTATGGCTAACCTTATTAGGAGCCAGGGACCACAGGTAAAGATGAGTTACAGTGAGTGGTACCTCTGGTTAAGAACTTAATTCATTCCGGAGGTCCATTCTTAACCTGAAACTGTTCTTAACCTGAAGCACCCCATTAACCTAATGGGGCCTCCAGCTGCCGCACTGCCACCAGAGCACGATTTCTGCTCTCATCCTGAAGCAAAGTTCTTAACCCGAGGTACTATTTCTGGGTTAGCAGAGTCTGTAGCCTGAAGAGTATGTAACCCGAGGTACCACTGTACCTTGGGCACACAATATTTGAGCCCAGCATTAACGAGTTTTTATTTATTTATTTATTTATTCATTGCATTTACATTCCACTTTTTTCTCCCCTTCCCTATTTAATCTCCACAACAACCCTGTAAGGCAGGTTAGGTTGAGAGGCAATGACTGGCCCAGGATCACCCAGTGAGCCTCATGGCGAGTTGACAGTTTGAAATCTGATCTCTCAGATCCTGATCCAACACATTAGGTACGAATGCGTGAAGATTTGATTCTTTGAGAATGTTGATATGGAATGGCCTTCTCTCTCTCTTTTGAGAGAAAACACACATTTAAATACATATTTCAAGAGTATATATACAGAATCACAGAATTGTAGAGTTGAAAGTGACCGTGAGTGTCATCTAAGTCCAATGCCCTGCAATGCAGGACTCTTTGGCCAAAGTGGGGCTTGAACCCATGTCTGTGAGACCCTGACATTAAGAGTTGCTTGCTCTACTGACTGGGCTATCATATGCAGGACAAAAAAAATTATGAAGAAAATGACATAGAACAGGACAGGACAGGTTCACCATTCCATGTGTATGTTGTGGATCTGATCCCTGCATTAGAGATTCCAAACAGGGAAAATTGCTGTGGGGGCAGGGAGGGAGAACAAAGCTTATTGAGGGGGGAGAACAGTAGCAAAAACAGCTTTAGTTTCTTCCATTCATTCTTTTCCCCAGAACAGTATCCAAATCTCCTTTATCAAGCTGGGCCTGTTTTGGAATTCTGTGAACCTTTGCTTGGGAATAAGCTCCATTGAAATCAGTAGCATTTACCTCTGAGTAAACATACGGAGGCTGCACAGCTCTTCACAAAAACTGCATCTCTCTCTCTCTCTCTCTCTCTCTCTCTCTTTCTCTCTCCAAGAGCCTTCAGCCACTTTCTCAAGTGATGCTTAAATTAGTTTCTGC